CAGAACCACAGAATATCCTGAGTTGAAAGGAACCCACAAGGATCATCAAGTCCAACTGGCTCTGCCCAGGAAAACTCCAGTAATCCCACCACGTGTCTGAGAACGTTGTCCAAATGCTTCCTGAGCTCTGTCATGCTGGTGCTGTGACCACTTCCTGAGGAACCTCTTTCAGTGCCCAACCCCCTGGTGAAGAACCTCTTCCTAATATCCAGCCTAAACCTCTCCTGACACAGCTTCATGCTGTTCCAAAGCCCTTGTTTATGAGACCTAGTGATATGTGAGGCCAGCGCAGATGATCCATACCTTCCCTTTCCCTTTTGCTTTCCCTTTCCCACAGAAATTTATAACTTCCACAGTGTTTGATTCTCATGGGCACAAGCTGCCTTGCAGATAATGCTGTCCCTTGATGGTACCCAAGGTTTAAAATTTGGGTAACTGCTGACACTGGTCAGTGACTTTGCTTGGGGCACATTGTGTCAGGGAAGGAAATGTCTTACACCATACAAATATGACAGGATGGATCCATTCCAAAATCAAATTAATCCCTTAGGAGAAAAAAACATGCCAACAAATGGGTTTCATTACCGAAACTGCAAGAAGCTCCTGGAAAACCCCACAGGTAGAAAAGGGAACACATTAATTCAGCACTTCATCCAGTCCAGTGACACGGTCCACAGTCTGTCACTTTAATGCTGCATTCACAGGCAGGATTTAGGAGACAGGTTCATTGCAAGGCTACAGCTGTGACAATCTTAACTTCACATCAGAGTAAACACATGGAAGATCTTAGCCTTAGGAAAGCTGCCTGTAATGAAAAGCAGCTATCAAAAGCCCTTTTCACATCTCTTCTATCCTCACTCTCTCTATATATCAACCTATTTATGTATATAATTTTACCTACCAAGAAGGTATAGAAGACAGAACCTGACTCTTGCAAGAGATGCACAGTGAAAGGTAACAGATACAAACTGAAACATGGGGAATTCTGATTAGATTTTTTTTTCATGAGGATGGTCAAACACTGAAATTGCATCAGAGGTTGTAGGATCTCTGGTTTTGGAGATATTGCTAGTTTAACTGAACCAAGCCCTGAGGAACCTGCTAAAAATTGGTCCTGCTTTCAGCAGCAGGTTGGACTATATTAACCCCACAAGTCACATTCATCCTAAACTATTGTGTGATTTTTCTTAGGTAAATTTGGAACCAGACCATAGGTCCTAAGTAAATATGAATATATTTGTATAATACTTAACTGACCCGCTGCACTGATCAAGAATGGAGACAGGCTGCCAGTACTCAGCTAAAAGGAATAATGGCACTACCCACACAATACCCACAAGGATCAGCACCCACACTGGAGAGCTCTGCACTCAGAAACCTCCTCCAGTGCACTCAATGAACACTTCATCCATCATGGACTCAATGTGTCCAGGGAGATTCTATACATACTCTGCTGTGCTCAACAGAACTGTGACTACAGGCCCCTGGTTCTATAGTGAAACCTTCTAGAATGATGCACTGAAAGAAAGATTACTGGGGAGTTAAAAAAAAAATCCTCTAGGATCTCAAAATGTATCTTATTCTATCTGAAGGACTAAGGTTTCAACTAGGAGGATAATTTCAAGGCACTCAGTCTTAAGAGAACACTGTGAGAGACTGAGAGTATTTACATATACTGAAACAGTTATGATCTGATGATTTAAAGTGATATCTGTTGATGCCCAAAGGTATTTTTGGGCCCATACTTTCTTGTTTTTATGTAGTTGTTTGCCAGCTACTGACAATCTGTTTAGAAATACCAAGGAACATGAAATCTGGAGGTGTATCAGTGTGTGAGCGTCCACTCCAAAACCTCTGTGAAAATAACCTTCAGGGATGGCAATCAGCCAGAGAAGCAGTTTGAAGCCAGCTAAGATAAGAATAAATATTCATGGCAGCTAAGGATTTTGCCTTTAATACCATTCTGCTAAATGCAGATAAATATTCAGATTTCCCTGGCTTCTGGAGAGTAAACCCGGTTTTAAAGAGAAATCCACACAACAGCATCCAAATAACATTACAACTGCTGGTAAGGGTTTTGGCTGATGTGTTACCCTAGTTTTTACAGACCAAATGAAATTTCAGCAATTTAAACATCTACATCAGACAACAGATGCAGAAATATTCATGTTCTGTATCACTGCTGCCTGTGGCAGAGGGATGGCTCTACCATACTGTGCACCACCACGCTGTACTTCTGCCTTTCAGAACTGTACTTCATCCACAGGTAAAGCACCTCTCACTTATTTTGACATCTTTGCATTGAATAGTATCATCCAAAGCTAATATTCTACTACCTTTACTCCTACCAATTTGTCTCTGTGCTAAGGCAAACGTTTCTGTGGTATAAATCCCAAGTTCCCAGTTGAGTGAACCAACCCTGAAGTGATGACTACCTTCACAAGACTCAGTTTACAGGGAAGATACACAGCTGAACTAGAGTTAACCATGCTATTGCAGCTATCAACCGTGTTACAGCAGCAGAGCTACAGAACCTCCTAACCAGGTAACACTTTCCTCTCCAGATGACCAAGAAGCCAGAGTTGCATCCTGTTCCCACCACAAATTCAAGTTACATCACATGCAGAAGAATACTTAGAATAAATTATTCAAAGGGAAGCAGAATCAAAGAAGATTATTTCCTTTCCTCTGCAGATTCACAAGCAAAAGAATAACTTTGTTCTATAGCCCATTATTAAAACTTTCACAACTAACCACACCACAAGACACTTACACCCCAGCTGGATGCTACATGAGGCTGTGACTGCAGGACCACTAAGAAGTCACTCCACTTTCTCACATATAAGTTAGGAGCTTAATTCAGAACATGATCTTTAAATTGTTTTCAATGCATCTTCAGACTTCATGAAAGGAAATGAGCAAGATGACAGATGGACCAGTTGTGTTTTATTTTTTTCATGAAATGGCTCTCAGACTGCTTTAGCTTACTGCATCTTACTCCTTCTGTGCCGTACCTTCATTTCTGGATGTCTCTTTAGAGTGAACACTCACACTTTCTTTTCCCTCTTCCCTCTTGTGACCACAGTTCCTGTAAAAGGTCCAGAAAGGAGGGCAAGTAGCTCCTAAACAATTCTAGCTGTCACACTTCTGGCTGGACAAAAAGGGGCAAGAGGAATGGAATTGGAAGGGGAAATACAGGCACAGGGCAATGAGAGAGCAGGGTTTTTCTTCCCCAGGCTTTCACTAGTCTTAAGCAAATCACTTCCCTTACACATTGCTGTACATTAAATTAATACTAAATTGAGCAGGCTTCTGGCAGGATTTCCAAAGTACAACGCTCAGCTACCAGTGTACAGGTTTGAGGCATCAAACCATTCTGAAATTCAAGGTGTTCAGCTCTCTTAGACATCAAACACAAATTTAAAAAGAATTAAGATAATCAGTGCATGACTCCTAGTTAAGAGGTTATTTTCAGCATCAGAGCTATTGGAACAGCCCTACCCATTCAGCTGGTCAGCCTCTCCACCTTTTAAAAGTATACCAGAGATCACAGCAGTCAATGCATTTATTCTTTCATTTAACATATACTTATCATATCCCAAATCTTTGCATGATCCTGAGAATTCTCACTCCAGTGAGAATGACTTGAAGACATACAGACCATGGGTTTCACCTTTGTGAAGAAAACTATTTACATGTAAGGGTTCAACAGTTTACTAGAGCAGTTACTTTGTAAAAAATAATGGGGAAAGAGTGTTCCAGCTGAGAGCTGCAAGTGTTCCATCCCTGCTGGAACTTCTGCCAGTGTTGGAGACTTTGCTGCAGCAAAGTTTTTACAGGATCTCACTATCTCTGTTAGATGGAGTATGCCCAGAGTGTGCCAAGAGAGAAAACCTGAATGCTGCACTGAAGTGACCAGTAACAGGACAGAGGGGAGCTCTGCACCTGACCCAAGGGGAAGATGGCTAATTTAACCTTCTGCCTTGTTTCAGTAGAAGTGCACAGTGTCCATCTCCACTTCTAATATTGTATTTACCATTACCAACCTCTTAAACTGCTCAGCCAGTTGATGGCGATCCCTTCAACTAGGGCATCAGATCCAAACCAAGAACGGCTAGACAGGCAGATGGATTATGTCATTGGCAAAATTAGAAGTTTTAGGCTGTGATTGGCTTCCAATTACTATCTTCCTGTAAGTCTGGAAGTGACTCGTGTACAGACACTCAAGACCATGCTGCTGAGCCTCCAGATTGAAAATAACAAGTTAAAAGTTGGGAAATGTTTAATATGTGAAAAGCAACGATCTTAGGATATTTGAGTGGCAAGTCACTGAAGGTGCATCTGGCATGGGAAGGTGCACCTGTGGCACTCAACTTGGCCCAGCGGGCAAGCAGCCCGGCTCACCGGTGGCTCACACGAGGAGCCTGCAGAGCCCCTGGCCTCCCCTGCCCTCCCCTCCCCTCCTGCCCCCCTCCGAGGCTTCCTGTGCCTGCCTGCAGCGCCAGCCGGCAGCGCGGCATCCCTGTCCCGAGGCATCCCTGTCCCGCGGCATCCCTGTCCCGGGGCATCCCGGTCCCGCGGCATCCCGGTCCCGAGGCATCCCTGTCCCGAGGCTTCCCTGTCCCAAGGCATCCCTGTCCCGAGGCATCCCGGTCGCGCCGCATCCCGGTCCCGCAGCATCCAGGCCCGACCGGCACCGCCAGGCACATGTCAGAGCCTTTTCCATGGAGCCAGTTCTCCCTGAAGCCTCAAATAACCAGACCCCCAGCCCGAGGACAGGGTTCGGGGCGGTTCGAAGGCACAGATTTGGGAACCACCGAAGAGAGCCGGGCGCTGACAAAGAGCTCGGGGCTCTCCCGAGCGCCCCGCACGCTGCAGCCCCGCACGGCCCCTCGGCTGGGCTCTGATCCCGGCTGGCTGCGGGGGCCGCGGGCTGCCAGGAGCCCGCCCAGGGCACAGCCTGTTGCCGGACACGCAAGGTACAAAGGCAAAGCACAGACCTTCTCCCTGGCCTCTCCGCGGGGAGGCTGCGCTCGTCCTGCCGGCCGCGGCCGCGGTGCCGGCGGGGAGCTGGGGCCGGCCGCGGTGCCTCAGCGGCTCCACATCGATCCGCCCGCCGGCAGCCGCGCTGCTCTGCTCCTTCCAGGGGGACAAAAACGGGGCTGGGGGGGAGACCTTTCTATTATTATTATTCTAATATATTCTGGGGGCTTGTGGTTCCTGCAGCCAGGCGGAAGTGAACCCGCTTTCGCCCCCCTCCTCCTTCCGCGATGCTCCGGGGCTGGATGCGGGCGGCCCCAGCAGCCCGGGCTCCGCTCCCGGGGCAGGCTGCCCGCAGCCCCCGGGCGGCAGCGGCGTCCCGGCCCCCTGCTCCCCGGGCGGAATGGCGAGGCGGTGCCGTCCCCGAGAGGCAAAGGTTACTTGAGAGGCAGAAAGGAGCCAGGAATTTTCTCCACCCCAGTGATGGGCGGGCTGCCCGGGGCGAGCGGCGGTCCCAGAGCCCGCTGTGAGGGCAGCGGTGCCCTCAGTGACGCGCGGTCACAGCGCCAGAGGAGAGGCCACAAAAGCACCGAAATACAAAGGTGTCCGCTGGCTCCGTAGTGACATCCCGTGGTGCGGGGACACTACTGCCGATGGCCGGCTGAGCCCGGGGCTTACCCAGGCCCCCGGAGCTTTGCGGGGCTCCGTCCGGAGCCATCCGAGGCTTGCTGTTAAAGCAGCGCACTGCTGCTGCCGCACAGCTCCGCTGCCACAAACCCGGGCACTGTGCGGTCTGTGCCTTACAACCGTGTCACATCTTCCACAGAGCTCGGGAGAGCCACGAGGGCTCCGAGCTGAGCTCTGCCGCTGGCCTCGTGCCTAGGCTGAGGGGCAGAGTGAGAGACACCGAATGAACATCCATCTAACTAAGGCAAATGTTAATTTCTTAATTCAGCATGTGCCATCATGTCGAATCAGACTTGCAGAACATCTCCCTTAGCCAAGAGGCACAGTGGAGATGAGGTGGTGAAACTCTCCTCCCTAAGCCTTCGCTACTCTAGAGAACTCTCCTGTCCACCTTCCCTGTCACACAGCACAATGGGATGCTCTGATGGCCTGTCCCAGAAAAGGCAAGAAGAGAAAAGACAGTGAAAAAGACCTGAACTCAGGGACCAAAACACCACAACCTGTCCATAGTCAGAAGGAAAGTGTGAAACCGGCACTTAGGCACATCAGAGCTGAATGGATTCTAGCTTACAGGATGCTACTTGTAATGGGGACGTGGTGGCATCAACCTACAAATGTCTCCACAGCCCCTGGCAAGCTTGGTAAGATCCAGGCCACCATATTTACAAAGCTTAGATTGCCCAGACCATAAAGATTAAGGCTAGTCTAGGCAGGCCTGAACACATAGCAACTGAAACTCCTGATAATTGTTCTGTGGTATAGGGGTGCAGGGTTGTGTGGGTGTAGATGGGTTGTAAAAGGCTCTTCTAAACTCTGCTACAGGAGTAACTCACATCAAATGATGCACATGCTTGCAAGAAATGACTGGGACAATTTACTCAGATCTCTGTTGTCCCCAGAAGCCAACTGCTCTCCACACCATGGTGGAACTTAATCTGCTGCTGTGCTCTGATTTGCCTGTAAAGCTGATTTCCATGGTATGTCAGCACACACATCCATCACTATCCTTCTTCCATCCCAGGGATCTCAAAGCACCTCACAGATGGAGCTTAAATGAAGGCCTAAAACACCTTCACTCTTTTTCCGCTGTAAGCACAGAGATGTGTTCATCATCCAACAGGAAGTATTAAAATGACTGGAAAGATGAAAGTGTCCTATCTGCACATATGCCTTGCTCTTCCAACTAGACAGCACTTCCAGCACATCTCCTTGCAATTAGAGAAAGTTGTTCCCTCGAAGACTGCCCTGAGCCATCCACTGACAGCTTTACAGGCAAATCAGAGCACAGCAGCAGTGTTCTGCTACATCCCAATGAATGATGCCGTTCGGTTCTGTGTCTGAAGAGCCACACAGCACCTATAGAGCAGCACTCAATATACTGTGAATTCTCACAGGCTTTTGTTGGTTTAGAATGCTCGCTTCTGGTACAGCCAGGTGACAGATACAGGATACAGTCAAAGGTTTTCATACATCAGAGAATCCTACAAAACATACAGGAAGAGAACATAAGCACCCAGTGTATCAGCCACCATCTCACAAGCATCTTGTGTGTCCTCTGAGACCTCCCAGCAAAGCAGGCTTACTGGGAAGTGGGAAAACAAATGTGCACTGACCAGAGAGCTGTAGAAGGCCAGTGAAGTACCCTTAGAAATGTTTTCCAATAAATGTGCAGGCAGATTGAGCTTCCTCTCTTCCCTTTCCTCTTCAATACATGTACACACCCAATCTCAGTGTGATTTATGTTGTCATAGTTCTCTGGGTAACCTCCATGCCCAGAGTACAATCTGAGAGCAGGAATCTGAGGAACAGGCAGCACTGGAGATTTGATTTGACAGTTCAGCCCTGAAAAATGTCCTCAATTAAATTACAGAGATACCCCACCGACCTCAAGAGGTTACCAAAACACACAGCCAACAACACTGGCCATTAAAAAGGCACCAGCTGTGCTACTCACTGTGTTTGGTTACTGTCTTCCTGGGAGAGAAGTGAAACTACCCCAACATTCAGTCCCACAGCCCATGAGCCAGCTCTGCCTCGGTGGGAGGGTGTATGTGTAGGGCATTACATATGGAATACCTGTGGCTATGGGCACCATGAATGTTAGAACAAAAGAGAGAGTTGGCCATACCTGGTCACTTCTTGATTTTGTGTCTGGGTTACCTCTGTAACATTCTTTTCTATGTTCCTGGTTTTGTTTGAGTTTTTCTTCTAGAACTTGGGAACTGATGTCTCAGTGTTATTATCAGTAATACTGCCAGTGTCTATAAAAAAGTACATATTCCAACTGATAAATGCTACAATATGAAGAAACAATGTGCTGTTAATAAAATGGAGATGAATTATGAAAGGTAATGAATGGTCTCAAACCCCACAAATTTGAGATAAAAATCCATTCTGCTGCATTTCGAGTAATTACAAGAGAAAAATGCTGAAGACTGTTTCTTCTCAAAACTTGGCAATTTTATATTATGCTACTATATTCTTATTGAAAAAATGGTGCTTTTATTCACTACCCCTTTTTTTACTTTGGCCAGTGCTGCAGCCAAACATCTGCTTGTTAATTCAGCAGGGTAAGTTAATGGTTAGTAATCCAGGAGTTTCCAGAGGAGATCCCCACAGATATTTCCTAAGTAAAATTCTCTCTAAAGCTTTGTAAGAATGCACTTAAGAAGAAGAAACAGAAAGATGTAGACAAAGCATCCATGTGATTGTTTGGATAAGTTGGGCTCTTCTGAAGAGCCTCAGTGGAGGATTTGGGGCAGGTTTTCAGCTGAAGGCAATCAAAAGCTCAGTGTGCAAGTTCATTCTGAATATACCAGTGTGACTGAAGAAAGCTGGGAGTGCAGGAAATGAGACTAAAAGCAATAGTGAGGTAGCAGATAGTTCACTGCTCACAGGATTCATTCCTTCCTGTCTTTAGACAGTCATAGAGAAAAATTAATCATGATTATTACAGTTACACATTCTGAGCCTCTTCCTGCTCACATGTTGACCTATCTCTATACCAGAAAAATTCTTAGGAGCCAGCCCAGCCTCACCAAATATATCCCAACAGACAGAATCCTGTATATCTAGGATTTAAGAGACAAATCCCCCAAAAGCCCACTGTCTAAGCAGATATAGCCTAGGCAATCGTCAGCAAGCCTCCCAGATCCCTGGCTTACATTGTCTCTGCATGCTGTGCTGGAGTAATGGAGCAGTGTCAGGCCTTGGGACTCTCAGGAGCAGGTACTAAAAAGGCACATTACATTGCTAGACTTTAGCAGCAGCGCTCTCACCAAATGTCCTTTTATTCATAATATTGACAATCAGTTATCATGTACCAGGATCGAGACAAAAAAATACTGCTGGCAAAAATAGTGTATTCACAGAATGATTTTTAAAAGATCTGAAAGAAACCATGCAAATAACTATAAATAGTCTTACTATCCTTACAAGGCAATTACAGCTATTAAGCTGAACAGATAAATATAGAAAATTACCAGTCCTTATTTTTAAGTGATAATGAGTTTCTTGCAGGCAAACTGCACAGCTCTGGAGACTGCATCCTCAGACTACCCACAGACCATGGCTACACAGAGAAAAAGGAGCAAGTTTCTCAGAGCCTGAAGCCCAGGAATGCTTTATCCCAAAGGCAGTAAGGAAGCCTGGGTGCCAAAAAGAAAAATTTTGTCTGCCTGTGACACACCTGCCCAAATGCACACCAGCTTTTTTTCATCCACACTAGGAAGTGAAAGTGTTATTTTCTAAAAGCATAAGGATGTCACACAGTGAGTTCAGGACCACTGGTGTACAAGTGAGGCACTCACTGTGGAACAAATTATGTTGGGATCAAGTTTTGTACTTTTCAGCCTGTTCTGGAAATAAACAACCTCTGAGTAGTTCTGGCTTTCTTTTTCCAGACTCCATTAGTTAATGTACAATCACTGGAGATAACTCAAGGCTTTGCATGACCCGTGCTGCTATGGATTGCCAGCAACATACATTCACTACAATGTACACATTAAGATGAACAAGTAGTTGTGCAGCTATTTCCTAAGCAATACTTCCTCACCACCACTAAGGGACAGTATTCCCTACATTTCTACTAGAAAGAATGCCATATCTGCAAGTTCCATTTTAATCAGCAATGGTTAATGCCTCTGTTTAGTGCTTAAAGTGTTTTACATTCTCTATTACGTTTGTTTAATAAGTTAGTTCTTCACAATGCAGTGAATTACAGGCCCATTTAATGTACTTTCACTACAACTGATTCACTGAAAAATAAAACAAAATGTATTTAGTGAAGGTAATTCCTCCTATGAGCTCCTAAGCCTAACAGGATGGCTAGTCTAAAATAAATGGTTAACAGTAAGGTGTCAATCAAAAGGCATAAGCAACTTTGCAAAACACATCCATTTTTGCACATTATTTTTTTCCAAATACATAATTTGTGTCTGTGAAAATCTTCTAAACCGTCCTTATCTGTGTTGCCAATGCAAGTACTGGAAAATCTGCAACATGATGCTCTTTGATGGGTACT